CCTCGTGGGAAAAGCGGCCGTTGGGTCCGGCGGAGGCCCCAGCGGAGCGGTCCTCCGCGCGCCAGGGGTCGCTGTGGCGCCGCGCGGCCGTGCCGGGACCCTCTCGCGTGGCCGCCCCGCCTCGGGCCCCCGGGCCGAGTGGGCGGGCACGACTGCGCCCAGGTCGCGAGGCGCCCTTCGACCAGCAGCGCCCGGGGCGGGCGGGGATAAATGGAGCGGTGGCTCCCCCGGCCGCCTCTCTCCGCCCCGGGTCGCCGCAGCCTCTGCCGCTTTCGGGCCTAGCAGCCTGAAGGAAAAAAAAAAAAGAGAAAAAGATTTTAAAAAACCCGAAAACCCTTTAAAATCTTAAAAAAAAAGAAAGAAAGAAAAAAAAGAGCGAATCCTCCTCGGAGAACCCGCGGGGAAGTCACTTTTGCACGCTTCCGGCCTGCCCGACGCCGCCGCCGCCGCAGCACCTGGGCGTTCGTCGGTCCCCGTCCGTCGGTCCGGTGGTGAGCCGCTCGCGCGCCCGCGTCCACGCGCCTCAGCCCGCCGCTCGGCAGCGCCGCGTGGCAGCCCCGCGCCCGCCGCCCTCGACCCCCGCGCGCCGGCCTCCGCGCTCCACGTGTCCGCGCTGCCCTTCGCCGGCCCGGCGTGGGAGGCGGCTGCGCGCTCCGGCCGCCCGGGGCTTGCCGAGTCGGCACCGACAAATATTTGGTTTCCCTCTTTCCCGGGTTGCTGTAATCTTAAACCGTCGGGAGCCCGAGGCCTATATATATAGAGAAACGCACGTTCCGGAGGCCGCCGTGGGCACCACTGGGTTGCCTCAGGAAGAATTTTTGTAATTTGGAGGACAGTCCCTGTTTTCATTGTTTTCATTTTTTGAAATTGGGAGCTTCCAGACCAGAACAGCTGAAAATTAACAAACTCCCAGGGAGGGCCATATTGTTTTTGAGAGCCTTTTGTCTGCGGGTGGGCAGTCTCGTCCGAGCCGTCCCCGCACTCCTCTCCGGCCCTCGGAGCCGACTCCAGCTTCTCTGAGCTTCACTGCCACCTGTGGGCCGCGGCTCGGAGCGGAGCCCCCTTTGTCCTGTGTGGCCCCCCCTAAGAAGTCCTCCTGGCGGGGCTCGGGGTGCTGGGGGCTGGGGAGATGAACGCTGCGGCCAGCAGCTACCCCATGGCCTCCCTGTACGTGGGTGACCTGCACTCGGACGTCACCGAGGCCATGCTGTACGAAAAGTTCAGTCCTGCGGGGCCTGTGCTGTCCATCCGGGTCTGCCGCGACATGATCACCCGCCGCTCCCTGGGTTATGCCTACGTCAACTTCCAGCAGCCGGCTGACGGTGAGTATAAGCGGTGGCCACAAGTCCGTGGGCTCTCTGGGGACCCTAAGATTGCTTCTCCGGGCAGGTCCCCACCCCCGTGGAGAGGGCATCGCGACAGCACGTTGCCGCGGAAGCCCTAGTCGGGGACGGGCCATGGGGGTTGAGAACGCGGGATCCTGGCATCAGACGACCAGAGTTTCAGTCTTGCTTCCACAACACTTGCTAACCGGGTGACCTTGGGCTAATGGGTGCTGTTGGGGCTGGAGCCCAAGGAGGCTGTAAAACAGGACCAGAAGGAAGTCGCTGTCATTCCGTATGTGGGCGGTTTGCTCTGTGAGCCTTGCCTGGTCAGTGGCCAGGTGTTCGGGCCCCTCACAGGCCTGCGGAAGAGACAGGATGATTGAAACACAATTACTTAAAAATTTTTACTAGGCAAAGCTGTTGCCCCCTTCCCTTACTGTACCCTGGGCTAAGAGTCTGACTTTGTGCTGATAAGGGGTTTTTCCGGGCAGGTAGAAAGCAGGGGAACAATGTTGTGTGTTGAACTTGAGCAGGCACTTGTGTTAGCACCACCAGAGTGTGTGTGGTGCTGGGCCAGCTCCCTCCTCTGTGTGTTTGCCATCGGGGCAGAGGAGTTCTTTCTCTGGACAAGCCCTGGGCTGTGGAGCGTGGTATGCAGGTAGTCTGGGGAAGCGCCTCTTGGAAATCCGCTAGGCTGGTGGGGATTATCGCCTCAACCTGTGCACAGTGCTTTATACTTGACAAAACCCTTTTACTTCATCCCATCTGAAGAAAATAGGACTTCTGAGGGAGAAAAGCAGCTGCAAAAGGTGGGAGGCTAAGCTGGGACTGTGGGTGCAGTGCTCTGCCAGCCCTGACTGGGGCCATAGCCTGGAGCGTGGAGAGGTATGCTGCAGGCCTGGCCCGAGTGAGGCCAGAAGAAACCTAATCAGGGGCTGCACGTGACTCCAGAATAAAAGGGAACAACTGTAGAGACCATTACTGGGAGAAACAAGCCATTCTGTGGCCAAGGATCTCCGGGTCCCTATTTTTGTCGCCACTTTGTTCACTGTCCGTGAAGCACAGAGGATGTCACTTGCCCAGGATGCAGCGGAGACCAGAGAATTGGACTTGTTGAGAGACACAAGGCACTGCTGCCGTCAGTTCAGTGTGCTCTGAGTTGTGTCTGGCCCCAGAGCACAAAGAAGGTAGCTGAGTGTGGCCTTTTAAGGGGGGAGTAGTGGGCACATTGGCTGTTGTCTGCCTCCTTGACTCTTCTGAGCAAAAGTCCTGTCACTTAGAGATAGTAGCAGAAGCCATTGGTTAGTGTGTCTGCCAACACATACCTCTGCAGGACCTCTCCCTACTATAAATAAGTGCAGCCAGATTTGTCAGACTAAGCCGAGTTGCCTTGTGCAGCCCTCTCCGGAAATAGACGGGAGCTGTGTTGAAATGGGCCGCTAATTCACGCAACACAGTTAGGGGTCCCAGGCTGTGGATCACAGAGTCCTCACAAGCGAGCCCTTCTTTCTGTGCTGGACTCGCACTGACTTGGATCTGCCGTCCCCCCTTTCCCTGATCTCCTCCCCTCTCATGCTGAACCAGCCCACCTGAGGAAAGTGGGAAAGATGGTTGGAAATAGGGCAAAGGAGATACCTTGCTGGCTGACTGGACAGCTGAGCCTGTGGAGGGGCAGAGTTAGGGATTGTGTCCCTGTTTTAAGTGAGACAGTGCCTTGAGGCGGGAGAAACACCCTCTACCCCCATCCCTTCATGGAGAAGGAGATTCTGGGAGATGTCAGTGCAAGAGTCAGGGGAAGTGGGTCTGGGTCCTTTTTACTACCAGTAAAGAGAAGTGTTCTGCTGACAGGTAAGGGTTATTTTGGTCTCTGGTTCTTTAAATGGTCTCCCGTGGTATATACATGGATTGGGTTGGGAAGCTAAGGAAGCGTCCCCAAGCACTGGGTTGAGAACTTTGTTGGGCACCAGGGCATTTGAAAGTCCTGGAATTCCGTAGAACGCAGATGAAGGCTTCTAGATAGCCTAGAAACCACTAGGTGCAGGGCCTGCCTCCATTGTCAACTTAGGCAGAAAGGGGTTGCAGTTTCATCCTTCTTGTCCTGGTGATACAAAACATTTCCATGTGTGGCCATCATTTTGATGATTGAGGCTTTTTTGTCAGAATCAATTTCTGTTCTCAGAAATTGAAAATATAAGAAACTGGGCTGAAGTTGGAGATAGCACATTTTCCCCAATCGAACGCTCACAGGTTTTTTTAGTCATTTGTCTCATAGACAGGTTGTAAACTAAGTGACAGCTAGTTGATAATGTTGATGCGATACCTTACTGAAAAAAGTCTGCCATTAGTTTCTTAGTCAGTAGTTAGCTATACCGTTTAGCCATCCTGAACATAAGTTTCTCCATTTTATGAGGGATCGTTTCACCTCTTCCACCTCCATCCTGGTGGGTAGTAGGCTGCAAAGTCGTTTATAAATGATAAAGCTTAGTCAAATGTGAGGTGTTATTTGATCCTGGTGCTATAAACCTATTTAGATTATCTTGCATAACCTCCTTACCCCAGAGGGGTTGAGACTTCTGCCATGAAGGAGGACGATTAGCTAGAACTTAGCCTCAGTAGCACTGCAGGCTAGAGGAATCTGATGTCCTTTAATTTTGATAGAGTTGAATTTCATCAGAGTGCTTACCTTGAAAGTTCTGGAGTTATCTGTTCCTGGGATGGTGGCAGGTAACGTTTTATATCCTTGACTGAAATATGTTTGTCTCTTGCAGCTGAGCGGGCCTTGGATACCATGAACTTTGATGTGATTAAGGGAAAGCCAATCCGTATCATGTGGTCTCAGAGGGATCCCTCTTTGAGAAAATCTGGCGTGGGAAATGTCTTCATCAAGAACCTGGACAAATCTATAGATAACAAGGCACTTTATGATACTTTTTCGGCTTTTGGAAACATTCTGTCCTGCAAGGTAAACACTGATTAAATGATTTCAGCAGAATAATTACAGAATCATGAAGACAAATACCAGATGGGGAATTGCTTGGAATTTGGGTGACTGGGTATGATAATTTCCAAAATGCTGGAAATGGCTCTGAAGTCTAAAAGTTCACTGCAGCAAACCTCGGTGCCACAGCCCAGCATAAACCAGCAGGCGCTTTCGTGTCTTTGTTTATTCTTCCCTCTGCCTGAAATATCCTTCCTGTTTTCTAGCTTTGGAAGGCATCAAAAGGTTTCTCCTGGGGAGTGGGGGGCTGGAGAGTGCCAGAGCAATGCCTCCGGTCTCCAGGAAGCTGTACTTAGTCACGTTAGAAGCATGAATTCACCTTCGTCCTTCTCCACGCACCTGTTATGTGGAGCATTTCGTACAGCTTGTGTGGTGGTGGTTTACATGTCTGACTCCACGCTAGACTGAAATTCTCTTGTGGGCTTGGGAAATGGTTCGTCATTCTGTAGCCCTGTGGTTTTGCACCCAGATCTTAATATATTTTTTTAATGAAGTAAGAAAACATTTGGAATAGCAGGAGCTTAATGGTGGCTACCATTTTTAAATGGAACATTATTGGGTACCTGCTGTAGTCTCCTGCCTTTTGAACATGGATGGGCTAGAGGCCTCTCAGACCCAGGAGCCCACACGGCTCTCGAGTCTCTGCAGCTGGGCAGTGGCGCTGAAGTGGCCCGCCTTGTCTTTGACAGGTGGTGTGTGATGAGAACGGCTCTAAGGGTTATGCCTTTGTCCACTTCGAGACCCAGGAGGCTGCCGACAAGGCTATCGAGAAGATGAATGGCATGCTCCTCAATGACCGCAAAGTGTGAGTGTCCCAGTCCGGAGCAACAGCCGTCGCATGAGCCAGCCGTGGCCCCACCTCGGTATTAACTGGCACACACAAGGCGGCTACTGGTTCTCGGCCCAAGTGTGGCCTGCTCCTACCTCTCCACTCCAGGGCTGGTGAGTCTCCCTGCCCGAGCCGTGGCAGCCCTTTTGACTCGCCAAGGTGGGCTTTCTGCCCAAGCCATGGCTGGCCTGCCGCCTCTCCCTTAAAAGCATCAGTCTGTGGGTTTTGTGAGCGTCGGCAACAGGGGCTAGCTGGAAGGCAGCTCTTAAGCCCACTCTGAGCAGGGGTCTTGGCCAGCAGCAGAGTGGAGAGGGCCCTGGGCTGACCAGGAGCTGTGTACTAGTCATGTGACCTTGGCCTTCTGTGATTCAGGTCCGTGGGGTCACTCGCTAGGGGTTGATGCAAATTGTCCCCTCCACGTGGCTAACTTATGACTCAGTGGTCTTCAAATACAAGGCTGGCTCCACAGCAATAATTAATTTGGCTACAATGAAAAGTCTTATCCCATTGCAGAAGACTGTTCATAATAGACCTTGTTGCTTTGGTGTGGTTATTTCAGAATGGAGATACGGGGATCTTAGTTAAGCCATGCAGGGAGAGAAGGGACAATAAATCTTGGTTATGACAAGCAAAAGTCATTTCTGTCCTTTGTGTTACTGAACAGACCAGGGGATGGCTTGTGTTAATGATGTGCATGTGCCCAGTGGTCAGGTCTTCTAAAGGTATCACTGGAAAGAAGCCTAAAGATTTTTCACGTATGGATACCTTTCCCTATTAAGTGTAAACAGCACCAAAACAAATAAAGTAAAAAAAGCAAAGGCTACCTCTTAGTTCACTCCAACAGTCTCACTCCTAGGATTAACCACTGTTAACAGTTTGGTTTGTATCCTTCCAGACCTTTTCTATGCATTTACATAGATGCACAGAAATGAACGTTTTAAAAACATGGTCATCAGGTTTCTTCACGAAGGCAGTGTGATGTGGTAGGAGGAGCCCTGGCCTGATCCAGGAGCCCTGGGGCTGGTCCTTGTAGGACAGTCCTGCCTCTTTCTCTTTCTGCTGGGGAGTTGGGACGTCTCTGAGCTTGCTCTCTTGGTGGTTGGATGGGAACTCGTGTGTTTTAACCTCTCCTGTCAGCCTTTAACCTGCATTCCTTCGGGCCCCTGGAAATCATGTTTTGTTCCTCTGAGTGATCACTGTTTTTCACGGTTTCTTTTTAGGTTTGTGGGCAGATTCAAGTCTCGAAAAGAGCGGGAAGCTGAGCTTGGAGCCAAAGCTAAGGAATTCACCAATGTTTATATCAAAAACTTTGGGGAAGAGGTGGATGATGAGAGTCTGAAAGAGCTATTCAGCCAGTTTGGTAAGTCAGGGTCCTTTGCCCCATGTGTCCCCTTTCACAGTCCACCAGACCTGGAATTCATCTATTTTTACTTAACAGATGAGCCCACCTAGACCCAGAAGTAAAATGCCTTGTATGACAAAGGCCACAGGGTAGATAGGAATAGACTCCAGGCCTCGGCTCTTGGCTTCATCCTACTTTGTCCCATCCCCAAGGCCATCTCAGCAGCTTGGTCAGAAGTAGAAGGCCAGGCATGGTGCCTCTTTCTTAGAGTCCATCTGGACTCAGCAGGAGCTTGCTTCAAGTGGGCTCCTAGAGAAGCCTTCTCTCCTTGAGCTGTGATAGAGTTACTAATAGTTCTGTCTTTGGTAACAGGTAAGACTCTAAGTGTCAAGGTGATGAGAGATCCCAGTGGGAAATCCAAAGGCTTTGGCTTTGTGAGTTACGAAAAACACGAGGATGCCAATAAGGTGAGAGCACCGTGAGGGTCGGGGAGGATTTGTAGGGAGTGGCCCTAGTGTGTGGGCAGGGCCTTGCCAGCACATGGTAGAGCGGAGCTGTAATTGTCTGAGTACCTAGTAGTGATGCATGGTCACTGTGCTCTGGAATTGTCTTCCTGAGGGATTTCACATAACTGTTTTCAGAGCACTTGGCATGTGCCCATCACCTCAGCTGTTCAGCCCTGTAGGTTGAAAGAGTAGGGCAGGCGTTTGTTCCCATTCATAGGTGAGGGAACCAAGGGCCCCGAGTTGCTGATCTGGTAAAAGAACAGTAGCTGCTTCCGGGAGAACCACTGTGCTAGGCCCTCAACATGTATCACTCAATACCCTGAAAGAACCTAAGAAATTTAGTGGCAGCCAGATTATCAACCTAGGCTCATGTCTACCATGCTTGTATTTATACAGCTGTACAGTTTTTTCACTGAATTATCTAGACCAGTGACCCATTTAAATATTAACCCCATTTTACTGATGAGGAAGTTTGGATTGGCTTAGCTGACTTCAGAGTGAAATTAATTTTTAGCCCTGTAGGGAAGATTTTTCTCTCAGACTATTTGGTGGGACTTAACAGACCTCCAGAGCAAGGCCCCTGCCTCTGCATCTTGATTTAAAATCATGTATTTCCTCTTCAGGCCGTGGAGGAGATGAATGGAAAAGAAATCAGTGGGAAAGTCATTTTCGTCGGCCGTGCACAGAAGAAAGTGGAACGGCAGGCCGAGTTAAAGCGAAAATTTGAACAGCTGAAACAGGAGAGAATTAGTCGGTATCAGGTAAGAGGTGGTCTCAGCCCAGCCAACCAGCAGGGGCTGTACCACAAGATGTTGGCAAAAGCATCCTTAGTTTGGCAGGCTTTCTCTTTGGGGACCATGAGTCTCCTCATTTCTCTCAAGATCATCAGGTTTAACAGGATGTACCTACCAGATACAGCAGCAGTTCTGGAACAAGGATGAAGATAATTTATTCATTTAGGGACTCTATTCTGGAAGCCTCAGCCTGTTGTTCTTAGTCATGTGCGTTCTGTTTACTTAAATGATACCACTTTGTTTGGAACGGTGTAAGGAGAGCCCTGCTAGGTCAGTGATCAGCCAGACCAGCTGTGAGAAAGGCTGGGACTGTATCGATGGTCCTGTCAGAGTCTTCAGCAGTAGATTCTCAGCCTTGAGCCTGCATCAGGATCCCCTGCAGGGCTTATGAGAAAACAGATTGCTGGGTCCCACAGCTTCTGATTCATTAGGTGTGGGTTCTGGCCTGAGAATTTACATTTCTGACAAGTACCCAGAGATACTGCTATTGCGTGTCTGGAGCCCATATTTTGAGAATCACTGTCTTAGGAAGTGTGTGAGGTATAGAAGTGCAATTAACAGATCTTTCTGCTTCAGGGGGTGAACCTCTACATTAAGAACTTGGATGACACCATTGATGATGAAAAGTTAAGGAAAGAGTTTTCTCCTTTTGGATCAATCACCAGTGCTAAGGTATTTTATACTGAGTGTGGGGATTGAAAGCAGAAGTTGTAAACTTGCAGAGGTTTATTGCATTTGTTTCATTGAAGGAATAGGATCTAAATTTTCATTTCTGAGAGTAGCTACCACATTCATCTAGCAAATTCCTCCTGGCATTCGGTTACCTGTCTGAGTATATGCTCTGGAACATGACATTTTGTTAGGTTAACATTGCACTGTCTCCCATGTACTGGGATGTGGAGATGCATCTGACTCAGTCCCTCCCTGCCAGCCCCCCAAGAGCACCTGAATCTTTCCCATTCTTTGCTGCTTTGTGCTGGTGTGGGGACAGATGGTGCCACAGCATGAGCAGAGGAAATCCAGACGGGTTGTCTTTCACTTGTCTTGAGGCCTGTCTCTACAACTCTGCCACACTTATTCCTTGAACAAAGGTGTTTGAGGATTTTGAAGCTGGGGTTGGGAACTTCCATCTGGTGTCCTAAAGAAGGAGAGGGGAGTGGAAAGTTTGTTTTCCCGTGTTTTGCAATGTGCATCATCTGCTTGATTTTCTTTGATATGATAGCAATTGAGTTAGCTGTGGGAGTAAGTACAAACCCCCTTGTGAAGATAAAGATGAGAAGAGAATGCTGGTTAGGTGAAGATGTTGTATTGTGTGTCCTTAGTGCTTTGGGTGTGTGGTGGGCACTCGTGGCATCGGAAAGTTTTGGGGTATAGCCTGATGCAGACTCTATGCCTGCTCCACAGAGGTGAGGCAGATGTCACAGAGTCCTCCAGGGGATGAGAAAGGAGGCCAGCGGGCCAGTAAAGACTTGGTGACCCTGCCCTGGCTCTTAGCTTGTCACTCACAACCCAGGAGCATTATCAGTGGTCGCAGGGCGTTGGCCAGAAGCCACCTCCAGGAATTTCCTCAGTTCCTCACCCCCTCCCTCCTATCACCCCCGTGACGGGCCTCCAGCAGCGCAAGGAATGATAGTCTCTCTTAGCTGACCAGCACAGGAGTCAAGATGGCATTTGCAAGAAGAGAGCAAAAGAACCGTATCTTGAAGTTTCCTGGCGCCATGCCCAAGATCAAGGTGTCACGTTACTTTCACACACCTTACTGGTCCACCTCGTTGGTAGACAGGTGTTGGGTTGCTACACATCTTTACTCCCACGTCCTCCACCTCAGGAGGCTCACCAGGCGGTGAGCTAAGACATGAGTGAAATGTAGAGATTACAGAGCGAGACTAGAATCCAGCTGCTTGTCTCCCGGCTGGTTGTAGTTCTGCTGTGTTTACTCTCATTGAATTAATGGTGGCAGTCATTGATTTTATGACTCCTGCCCACATGTATTTCAAAAGCGTGTCCTAACCTTGCTAAGAGCTTACTAAGTTTTGTTCACCAAGGTCTTGGGCAGATGAGTTTTACAAATAAGTTGCTTGATGCTAATGTCCAGATCTCTGTGAGTTCCCAGAGATAGCTGTGCTTCTAGGTACGAGGAAACATCTTTGGGTTCCTGGTTCAACCCTTAGCCATATCACAGTATTGGGGAACTTGAGTCACCTGGGGATCTAAAAAGGGAAAAGCTTAGTTTCTCCCTTTAGACTTTGTGATTCAGTTGGTGACTCAGTTTGTCTGGGGTCCATCGTGGGACTGGACTGTGAAGCCTTGACCTAGACCTGGTAACTCTTGCAGTGGAACCCAGGTTTTAACACACAGACACCTTTGTCCTAAGTGGCTGGTCTCATTTTGTAGGTGATGCTGGAGGATGGGAGAAGCAAAGGGTTTGGCTTTGTCTGCTTCTCATCCCCTGAAGAGGCAACCAAAGCAGTCACGGAGATGAACGGACGCATCGTGGGCTCCAAGCCACTGTATGTCGCCCTGGCCCAGAGAAAAGAAGAGAGAAAGGCTCACCTGACCAACCAGTATATGCAGCGGGTGGCCGGGATGAGAGCGCTCCCCGCCAATGCCATCTTAAATCAGTTCCAGCCTGCAGCTGGGGGCTACTTTGTGCCAGCAGTTCCACAGGTGGGTATGCAGTATGCTCATGTCTCCTTGTAACCTGCCTGCTGATAGCTGCTCCTATAGTCCGCAGTGGTTGGGGAGAGGGATTTTTGGATATTGGAGTTCTAGAATGTCACAGTAAAGATCCTTCAAATAAAACAAGGAAGGACTTAACTCGTGGTTGTGCACACACAGTGGCAGGGGTAAAGTAAAAGAGTCCCTGTTAACTGGCCGTCCCTCCCCCAAGCTCTTGAGTAGAGAGCGCCTCTGTCCTGAATAATTAGCCTAGGGCCTGGTAGTGAGACGAGGTGAGATGAGATACTTCTCTAGTGTGGCTTCAGGTCCTTAAATAAAAGGGCTTGGCTGCTCTTTCTTACAGGCTCAGGGAAGACCTCCATATTACACACCTAACCAGTTAGCACAGATGAGGCCTAATCCACGCTGGCAGCAAGGTGGGAGACCTCAAGGTAGGTGGTGGGGAACAGTGATTTGATCACCCAGGATGTACCTGTCCTGGCCTCCCCTGCCTCCCCTCCCTGCCCCCTCTGAGGCACAGCCTAGGTTCGGCTGTGTCGTTCATCAGTGACGTGCAGTTTTAAAAAATTAATTAATTAATTAATTTTTACATCTTTATTGGGGTATAATTGCTTTACAATGGTGTGTTAGTTTCTGCTTTATAACAAAGTGAATCAGTTATACCTATACATATGTTCCCATATCTCTTCCCTTTTGCATCTCCCTCCCTCCCCTGCCTCCCTATCTCACCCCTCTAGGTGGTCACAAACCACCGAGCTGATCTCCCTGTGCTATGCGGCTGCTTCCCACTAGCTATCTATTTTACGTTTGGTAGTGTGTATATGTCCATGCCACTCTCGCTTTGAGTGACGTGCATTTTTTGTCTCTTCACCAGGCTTCCAAGGAATGCCAAGTGCTATACGCCAGTCTGGGCCTCGTCCAGCTCTTCGCCATCTGGCTCCAACTGGTAATGCTCCGGCCTCTCGTGGCCTCCCTACTACCGCTCAGAGAGTCGGTGAGCAAACTGGCCTTGAAGTGTGGCCCGGGGAGGAGGGAGTCAGGACGACTAGGCTCTGCTCAGGGTTGGTCAGTTCGCTGGGCTCACCGTGTTGTCCGGTCCTGGTTCTTTACTCTTAGCTGTGTGCTTAGGTGGGTACTTAAGGAGCAGGGAAACAGTATGAGTTCTGAGTGTTGGTTCCTTTTAAGATTCTTTGCCTCATCGGTGACTCACGTGAACAAGGTTAATTGTAGAAATTTGTTAGCTGAATGACGACAGAGGCAGCCTGTTCTTTGGGTGGGGTTGGGAGATTCAAGGGACTTTTTTGCAGATTATGTCCTGTGTTCCAAGAGGTGGCAAGAGTTGTATGTTTTCTGTTGGCTCTTCCTTGAAAGTAGCGGTAGCGGCCCCATGTGTGATGTGTGCTGTATGAACATGCTTTGGAATTGCTCCTTCCGTGGGACGTGGCCAGTTGGACATCTGCTGCCAACACTGATGTGCATTTGCTGGTCTGTTGTAGGGTCTGAGTGCCCGGACCGCTTGGCTATGGACTTTGGTGGGGCTGGTGCCGCCCAGCAAGGGCTGACTGACAGCTGCCAGTCTGGAGGTGGTATTGGATGCACACAGAATGGGGAAAGATGGGATTTGACGGGTCTTTGCCCAGACCGATGGGCTTTAATTTTACTTGTCCTTTTCCTAAGGTGTTCCCACAGCTGTGCAGAGCCTAGCGCCTCGTGCCGCTGTTGCTGCTGCTGCTCCTCGGGCTGTTGCACCTTACAAATACGCCTCCAGTGTCCGCAGCCCTCACCCCGCCATCCAGCCCCTGCAGGTGAGGTCCATCAAACAGAACCCTAGAAGGGTCCCCCCCGCTTCCACATGATTCAAAAGCTGCCTTCCTTGGATTCCCTCAACAGGTATTAAATGCCTGCTCTGTGTCAGGGAGCCGTGTCCCGTGTGGTGACCCTGCCCTTGGGGGACTCTCTCTAGTGGGAGAGAAGGGCTTGCAAGTGTTCTTCTGATAACGGTTGGCTCAGCAATGCCCCCGAGGAGGCAGCTGTGCTTCCTGCTCTCCTCACTGCGTGCATGGGCTCTCTCAGCTCTTTGAAGCTTCCATTTCACTTTCATATCCAGTGGTCGAGTTGATCCTTAGCTGCCGTCCAGGTGACTGGGTGGCAAAGAACATCTTAGATGAGAGGTTCATCTTCAGAGGTATTAGGCTGGGTGGAGGAATTGGACCTGGATCTCAGGTTCTCTAAGCTGGAGCCGCTATCTCTATTAGAGTTGTGCCTTTCAGGCAGGCCAAGCAGCGAGCTTGTGGCAGAACTTTGCAGTTTGCTTGGAGGAGCTGTGCTGGGCCTTGCTTCCTTCTGCTCTGTGCTCTGAGTTGGAAATTTCGCAGAACTTGGCACTGTGAGAAATATTTTTGCCTATAAGACCCTACTTTTAGGACTGTGACTGGTATTGACGGTCCTCAGCATTTAATACAATAAAAACATGCGGTTCAGTGAAAGTGATACAGGATGTAATTATAAGCATTTCCTATTCATGTCCTTCGACCCAGTCTCTACTGGGAATTCACCCTAAAGGAAAACTAACTTTCAGGAAACGGCTACACGTACAAATGTTCATGGTACCTTATTTATTAACAAGGCTTCGATATCTTGGGCAGCCTTGGCTAAATTATGATCATTGTAGCCTTGAGTAAAGTAAAATCATTTGGTAAATGATTGTGTAGCATTGTAGGTTTTTCTTAGTCATTTCCCTTCTCTTCGAATAGCATGTGGCATTTTAACTGTGGTTGGTTGTGTATTTTGCTCACACCACTCTTCCTCTCCCTCAATCCCCAAGACTGCAGTCAGTTCCCTGACAGCAAAGACAACTACCTCCTTCTCCTCTTTAACTCAGTAGACTCGAGTGGTTGGGCACATGACCACTGTCACTGTACTTACCCGGGTGCTAATCCGCTGCCTCTCCTGGTTCCCAGGCACCCCAGCCTGCGGTCCATGTGCAGGGGCAGGAGCCGCTGACCGCCTCCATGCTGGCCGCAGCACCCCCACAGGAACAGAAACAGATGCTGGGTGAGTGACGCACGTGCTTGCAGAAGAGGGGGCCAGAGGGCTTCCCTGGTGGCGCAGTCGTTGGGAGTCCGCCTGCCGATGCAGGGGACACGGGTTCGTGCCCCGGTCCGGGAAGATCCCACATGCCACGGAGCAGCTAGGCCGCTGAGCCTGCGCGTCCAGAGCCTGTGCTCCGCAGCGGGAGAGGCCACAGCAGGGAGAGGCCCACGTACCGCAAAAAAAAAAAAAGAAGAAGAAGAGGGGGCCAGAGCTGCTACTGCCCCGGGCACCAGCGTCCTTCCTCTACTGGGATGCCACTGGGTTTTTCACGGAATACCTTCCCACAGGTGAACGTTTGTTCCCGCTCATCCAGACAATGCACTCAAACCTGGCTGGGAAGATTACGGGGATGCTGCTGGAGATTGACAACTCGGAGCTGCTGCACATGCTGGAGTCCCCCGAGTCTCTCCGCTCCAAGGTGAGCAGGTTCCCAGACCCCCCGCGGCTTCCGCTCACTCGGCTCAGGAGGACAGGGGTTGGCCACACCCAGGGGCGGCAGAGAGAAGGGTCTGCTGCCCCTGTGACCTCCTCGTGCCTCGCCTGTGACCTGAAGGCTGCTGGCGCGTGGGTATCTGGGAAAGCGGTCAGCACCAGGAGAGGCCACCGCTGGGCCTGGGCGCCAGGGAGGGGCGGAGGGGCTCTCCTCAGGTGTCACTGACCACCTGGAGCTTCTCACAGGTGGATGAAGCTGTGGCGGTGCTACAGGCTCATCATGCCAAGAAAGAAGCTGCCCAGAAGGTGGGCGCTGTTGCTGCTGCTACCTCTTAGACAAGGACAAACCGTATGTTTGGCTCTTTCTATTTTCTGCAATGGTTATGACTCTTGAACCATATCCCTGAAAGATTAGGGGCAATGTATATGTAGAGCCGTGTTTCTATCCCTTAACCTGATAACTTGGGCAGGCTGTCACCTGGGTTTTTTCTGTCACCTGGATGAGTTAATATGGAAAAAAGAGAGTCCTGGTGGTAAATTAGAAGACACAAACAACCGTTTTCTCCATAAAGAGCACCTGGTTAGATCTTTCTCAAGAATCACCTTGTTCGTCTTGAATAATGGTGGATATATGAGGCATTGTCATAATCCGATCCCACAGCCTCATTTCTATGAGCATCTCCCTAGTTTGGCTTGAGGTTGTGAGGTCAGTTGTGTGGCATCCACAGTTTAGCTCTGGAAACACAGCGGGCAGAGGCCTTGGTGTCAGAGTGAGAGAGACAGACACAGCTGGCTACAGTTACAATGTGTGTTCCCGTCGACTTCTGCATTTGGGGGCCAGGGCCTCTGTCTGCAAGGACTTGGGGCAGTGAAGCTTAACTAGGACCTCTGACGAGGACTGGTGGTTGCCTCCAGATGGAGAAAAGAGAGGACCAAATGAACATGGGCAGAGGCAAGGGAAAAGAGCACATGGTAAGGGCCAGAGCTCGTGTGTTGGTAGGGCTTGACTTGGCATAGTCATAGCCCCTTGTCAAGGGCCTGAGCCCTGTCATTTTGAGTTTAAGCAAGGATGGCCAGGAAGGGTCAAGGTTGGGGCTTTACATACAAGTACCCTCGAAGGCACTGGTTCTTAACCAGGGGTGCCTTCTCAGAGGACATTTGCCAATATGTGGAGACATTTTTGGTTGTCACAACTGGGAATACTACTGGTATCTAGTTGGGAAGAGGCCAGGGATGCTGCTAAATGTCCTGCAATACACAGGACAGCCCCCACAGAAGAATTATCTGGGCCAAAATGTCTCTGGGCACCAAGGCTGAGACCCTGCTCTACAGTACTTACATCAGAGATTTCCGTGCGTCTCTGAGGTTTTCTTGATTTTGTATTCATAGTGTCGGTGCTTTTCTTTTCAGGATTCAAAAGCCAAATAAACCCTCATGGAATTCAGCTCAAGGTTTGAAGACGTCCTAGCTTGTCCTATGGACCTCAACACCAAGAACCACAAATTGCAAGTTTAATAGGTCATTTTGTATCAAAAGGTCAATTATGAAGCACCTAGAATTTTTCAATTAAAAGAATATATTCTCTGGGTTCTGATATGGCCCAAACAGTGTTAACTTTTTTTTTCTATTGTGAGTTTTGATTCCCCCCCCCCAGAAACTGGTTTTATTTGATGTACCCAAGTCTTAAGTTTCTCAATAAAGAAAAAATCTCCGTAAAACTGCCTCTGTTTTTCTCTGAACACAGTTTTCATTTAAATTCCAGTTTTCACTGCAGGTAATTTTTGGATGTAAATAGGGTCAAGTGAAGTTCTGTATATCTTGTCATCCTTTCCTGATGGTTATAAGATTATTTTGGATTAGCAAGGTGTGCAGAACTGTCCCATTGTGTTCGACTGTGGGAGGACCTTTATATTGGGAACAGAAGTCTAGTACAGTCACAGCAGACCTTGGGTCTGGCACAGGAAAATCGGGTAAAGGGTGGCATTGGCGTGCTTTCCAAGGACACATGGTGAGACACGCAGAACCTATCTTGCCTCTCCCTTGGACTGTGTTGCTCGGGGTTTGCCAGTCCCCTCTTATCTCCTACTGTCAGTTTATCCTGCAGGCAGGTCCACTTGCTCAGATTTTGCAGCTGGCAGTAGGAAAAGTTCCCAGAGATCCAAGTGGCTGAAGGCCTAAGTGTTGTGTGGTTCCTTTAGTCCTTGAAGCGACCTTAACCTGGTCAGGGTCAACTCAACTGCTCTACTTGCCCTCCCTGTCCTGCAGCAACACTTTTTTTTTTCCCTTCCTTGAAACTTAGCAGGCTGTTCTTCCTCAGGGCCTTACCCAGGTGGTCCCTTTCCCTGGAATGTTCCCTGGTTTGTGCCTCTTGGCAGTTTCCCCTTTTCTCAAGGTATGCTTTCACCTTAACCGATGTAAAGGCCCAATCTAATGTAGGTTCTCCTATTTTCTAATGTCCGCAGTTAATGCGAGCATGTGTGTTTCTTCTATTAACGTCAGACTGTCCCTCCAAACCTAGCTTCCTGGGACCTGAGCAGTGTGGGAGCCTGTGTGCCAGCCGGTGAGGGGGCGGGGCTGTAGGCGGGGCCCAGGTAACGGCGGAGGAGCAAGATGGCTGCCACCCAATGGGTCCTGAACTAGGGTGAGCTGGCGTGGAGTTGAGGCGGGGCTCGGACTGAGTCCAAGTTGGCCGTGTGGACTGGGTGCAGACCCGGGGCCCCAGGCGGCATGTGGCAGCCTGGGCTGGGGTCTCTTGTGGGGGTCTACCCCTCAGCTTGTGAGTGGCATCTGTGAACTAATGGCTTTGCTGGGCCCTACCTCTGCCCAGATCCCTTTCCCCTCTGACCCTGGACCCTGGGAGGTAGTGAGATTTGTTATTGCGACCTCAGACTGCATCCCAAACTGTCATGCTCATTCATTCCCTAAATTCTATAGCCCTGCCCCCTTAGGTAAAGGAACTCCAAGAATAGTTGGGAAAGTACGGAAATAGCCTTGCTACGCGGGTTGGTGAACTCTATGATGCTACTGTATGGCAGTGTTAACAAGAAGCGGGTTGGGGGTTTTGGGAAATGACCACTCCATCCAGAGAGGTAAGGGCAAGCTTCCTGGAGGCACAGGGGCCAGAGATTTGAAAGATTAGGAGTTAAGCAGGTAGCTAAGCTGGAAGAGGCTGTTGCTTGAATGGAGAGGAGCGAGAGTGAAAGCCCAGAGGGGTGAAGCAAGTAGTTTGTATTGGGGAAGCAAGGAGAGAAGAGGCTAGAGAGGTGGGCAGGGCTCAAGTTCTGAAAGTCTTCCGTGCCATGCTAAGAATTTGGATTCTGTCCTGTGGTCATTGGTGAACTTTTGGAGACTATTTGGCAGGTCAGTGATGTAGTCAGATTTGCCCTTTCTTGGAGTCATTCTAGTGGCTGTGTAGAGAGAGAGAAACTGGAAGCAGTCAGCCCATTTAGGAAGCTGTCACAATAACCAGGGGCTAGATGTAGGTCTGAAGAGGGATGGGGAGAGGAGTGTACCTCACAAGTCATTTGTATACCCAAGACTATAGGGACCCCTCCTTGCCCTCCCTGTGGCTGTCTTGCTGACAGGGTGTTACAGCAGCCGTACCAAGAGTGTGGCGGACATCGGTTCAGAAAGCACTTGGTGTCTTTGCAGGTGGGCTGGCAGAGGAGATGGATGGCAAAATTCTTCGTGCTGCTTTTATTCCTTTTGGAGACATCACAGATATTCAGATTCCACTGGATTATGAAACAGGTGTTTATTCAGTGTCACTCATACTCAGCTGCCTAATGCCAGGAAAAGAACTTGAGACATTTTAAGTCATGAACATTCTGCATATGGTTGGTATGTATTGAAGTTCAGGAGGATATCTCTCTAGGTCAGTGTGACTGTGATCTTGGTGATGGAATGTTCTGAGGACAGCAAGGCCAGGATGGTGGGGTGGTTATGGGCTGAAATTTACAGAGATTGGCAATTTGTTGGATTTGAGGAAAGGCTTTGTCTACCTTGGAATCATTTGGGGGCTTTGATTTCTGATCATTTAATATATAAACCATACAGTAAGAACCAGTGATGGGGGAGGGGGTGTGGGATGAATTGGGAGATTGGGATTGATACGTATACACTAATATGTATAAAATGGATAACTAATAAGAACCTGCTGTATAAAAAAATAAAAGAAAAAAGAGACAGTAGGAAGGTAGTCTCAGAAAAATCTTAAAAGGTCTGGGTGTTGTATCACCCCACCATCCCTGTTGACCAGACCTCCCTTCTTGGCAGCTATGCTTTTATTTTTATTTTTTTTAATTTAATTAAATTTATTTATTTTTGGCTGCGTTGGGTCTTCGTTGCTGCACACGGGCTTTCTCTAGTTGTGGCGAGCGGGGGCTCCTCTTTGTTGCAGTGCACAGGCTTCTAATTGCAGTGGCTTTTCTTGTTGCAGAGCACGGGCTCTAGGCGTGCGGGCTCAGTAGTTGTGGCTTGTGGGCTCCAGAGTGCAGGCTCAGTAGTTGTGGTGCACGGGCTTAGTTGTTTTGCAGCATGTGGGATCTTCCCGGACCAGGACTTGAACCCGTGTCCCTTGCATTGGCAGGAGGATTCTCTCTTTTTTTTTTTTTTTGCAGTACGCGGGCCTCTCACTGTTGTGGCCTTTCCCGTTGCGGAACACAGGCTCCGGACGCTCAGGCTCAGTGGCCATGGCTCACGGGCCCAGCCGCTCCACGGCATGTGGGATCTTCCCGGACTGGGGCACGAACCCACGTCCCCTGCATCGGCAGGCAGACTCAACCACTGCGCCACCAGGGAAGCCCGGCAGGCGGATTCTTAACCACTGCGCCACCAGGAAAGCCCGGCAGCTATGCTTTTAAATAGCAGAGGGCAGCGGGCAAGCTTAGCCTAGGCAGGGGAGCCTTGGCCTCTGCTCACCTGGGTGAGGTTTCCCTCAGTTGGTGTCACAGTTATATGCACGTTTCTATTTGATCCTTGGCTGTTATTTTCTAAGATAGGAGTTTTAGACCCAGCCCTGCCACTAACTTTGTGCGACACTTAAACTCTCTGAGCCTTCATTGCCTCAATGCTTAAATGAAAGGATAGGATTGGCTTTTTGGTCTTTCTACCTCTGAGTTCTATAAATTAGTAACCCCTGTTGCTCTTGCTGTCCACCAACTAAATTAACTTTTTCCTGAGGCCAAGCACTGTGCTTTAATAGTCACCTAACCCGGTAGTGAAGTCAGTGCTCTGTATGCAGTTGATGCTCAGTTGGAATGAGTAATTGACAGATTGACAACTTTTTCTACTTTCTGTGAGTCTTGTAAACAAAGATTCCCAAAATGCTTGGAAAGTAACTTAAATCTTCCATTCTCTTAGTGGTAGAATTGAATACTACAAAATTTAAAAACTTAGTTCACTATTTAGTATGTTTGTTAAAACACACAAAATGACTTTAATATTTCTGGAAACGTTGAATAAACCAAGAAAAATGTAAAAATTAGATTTTTGCTTTTTGAATGGCATCTGGATATGGCATATTTCCTCCTATTGCCCACATATTAACTACGCATTTCTGCTATTATAGAAAAGCACCGAGGATTTGCTTTTGTTGAATCTGAGTTGGCAGAGGTAAGAAATTTTCCCTGGTTAGTATTTGACTAGTGTTGCTGTTGTCATTTGTTACAAAAGGTGCCACTCTCCATTTGAGCGGATGTAGTAATTTTCTGGGGCTGCCATACAAATTACTACAAACTTTGTGGCTTAAAAAACCAGAAATTTATTCTCATAACTTGGAGCCTAGAAGTCTGAAATCAAGGTATTGGCAGGGCCGCGTCTCTCTGAGGAATCTTTCCTTGACTCTCCCTAGCAGTCCTTGGCATTTTTTTGGCTTATAACTGCATCACTTCAGTCTCTGCCCCCGTCTTCACATGGTCTTTTCCACTGCGTGTATCTCTCTGTCTTCTCTTCTTATGAGGACGCTAGTCATTGGAGTTATGGCCCACCCTAATTCATTATGACCTCATCTTAACTAATTTCATCTGCAAAGTATTTCTAAACAGGGTCACATCCTGAGGTTTGGATAGACCTGAAATTTGGGGGGGACACTATTCAACCCTCTGTAGTGGCTTGGTGGTGACAGTTGCCAAGACACAGGAAGTTCTGGTTGAAGGAAGGCCCACAAGCCCTGGTTCAAAGTTCCCTTCATGTAGTCAGAATGTGAAAGACAGGCCCTGCAGAGCCCTGAGCCTTCTGGCCTGGCACTGCTGTTGCCTATTTCCTGTGTGTATTCTGTCTCCATAACCTGAGCACCCATCTTTACACCACCAGCTCCAGCAAGTAGTTAGTACATGCTCTTTGTTAAATACGTACAACCTAGGCCGTAGGAAGGGAAGTAGCATCTTGTTTTGAAAGCTTGTGGCACTGAGTTTTAATTTGCGTGTTAGCTACAAAAAGAGTTGAACTACACGCATCACCTTTCTCCTTGTATTCTTTTGGCAGGATGCCGAAGCAACTATCAAAAACATGGTATGGCTGAGAATCTTGCTTTTCACTGAAGCTGTTATTTGGTGCTACATGGGACCCTGATGCACGTATTGTGTTTCCAGTTTCCACAGTTTCAAAGTTATAGAGGAAGCAGAAGTTGCCGTTATTTGAAAGTATTCACTAGGAACTGGCTGCTTATAAAATTAATTCTTATTCAGAAATCCTGCCCATTTAACATTTGTATAAATGTCAA